GAGTGACCTGCAGGAGGCTCGCTGGTCTGACCACGGCAGACGCCAGGAGAGTGACCTGCAGGAGGCTCGCTGGTCTGACCACGGCAGACGCCAGGCGAGTGCCCTGCAGGAGGCTCGCTGGTCTGATCATGCCAGACACCAGGCGAGTGCCCTGCAGGAGGATTGCTGGTCTGACCACGGCAGATGCCAAGCGAGTGCCCTGCAGGAGGACTTCTGGTCTGACCACCACAGACCCACCAGGAAAGCAATAGCCCTTGCTGTGGAAATGGGTTGGTAATTAAGTCTAGATGAGTTCATGAGAGTGGGGCCCTCATGATGGGATTAGTGCCCTTTCAGAAAAGAAAGAGCCCAGAGTGTGTTCCCTCTCCCATCATGTGAGGACACAGCAAGGAGTCGGCCCTCTGTAGACCAAGAATCTGCAGACACCTTGACCTTGGACCTCTCACCCTTCAGAACTGTGAGAAAGAAATGGCTGTTTAAGCCCCGTCTGTGGTACTCTGTCACAGTAGCCAGAACTGAGGACACTCAGGTGACAGCCACAGGGAGCTACATGGAAGCTGACCCAACACCCACAGTACTGGCCGTTGTCCCTATGTGAGTGAGCACAGCTGCCTTGTAGGAAGGACCACCCACAAAGCTCTGCTTCCCACCACGTCAGGTGCGGCTCCTGCCCAGGGGGCTCTGGGGCTCTAGACTGAGCTTTGTCTGACCCGTCTGGTGGGGGGTTGGGGCACCTCCCATCTCAGTGGCGACACACTCAGGGCCAGTGAAGGTCCATGGTGGGGATGCGTCAGTCCACCCAATCGTTTCCCCTCTTCTCAGATGTTTACATTGTTCTCAACTTCCCATTAGTTAATTTAATACTTCAATGAACATTTTTCCCATAAAACCTGCACTCTGTCTCTTCCAACCCTGAAATATCTGATTCGCTCCGATGAAGCCAGCAATGCTGCTTTCTTGAGTTCAAGACACCAAGTCTCACCACTACTCCCTTCTCAAAGAACATAATTAAAACTCAGTTAATAAACTTCAGTATCTGCTGATGAAAAACAAAAACTCAGCATGAAAAGAATAAAAGCTATAATCTCAGTGACTCTGGAATCTCACTTAAGTCAGCAGCTGGAGACCAATCTGGGTAACACTGAAAGACCCATCTCTAAAAACATGAAAACATTAGCTAGGCGTCGGGGCACAACTGCAGTCCCCGCTACTGGGGAGGCCGAGCGGGGAGGATCACTCGAGCTCGGACTGTAAGGCTGCAGTGAGCTGTGATTGCCCCACTGCAGTTAAGCCAGGGTGACAGAGTGAGACACAGTTAAAAAAAATTAATTTCATTGCCCTAATAAAACATACCAAACAGAAACCTCAGCAAACATCTTAATGTTTTTCCTTAAAAGCCAGAAATAAGATAGGAGTGCCCATGATCACTGTTTCTATCAACACTGCTACCAACTCTCCAACACTGGAGGTTCCAGGAGGAAAAAGGAGGCAGGAGGGAGGGAGGGAGGGAACTGGCACCCCTAGACCGTGGGGAAGCAGGCAGGCACTCCTGGTCTCTGCTTGTACACTAACCTCCCCCTTGAAGGACAGCAATTTGGAGATGAATGTCTTAAAAATGGACATTTTTCGACCCTGCAACTCCACTTCTATGAACATAGCCTAAGAAAACAAGGCTGTGTACAAAGACGTGTCGAGATACTCTATCCGTGACTACTGGCAATCAGAAACCACCTGTTTGATGAGGTGCCCTTTCTGTGAATTCCGCGGGATGGAACACTGGTCACTAAAAATGGTGATGAGCATTCACTCGGACAGCTGAGCTAGCAGGTTTGACACACCTTCGTGTAGGTAACAGTGTACACACACCAATGTACTGGAAATATCATACCCAAATATTGGTAATTCCTTGTGCACTGTGTTTTCTAAATCTTTTAGAACATGTTAATTTTCTAAAAAGGAAAAAGAATATATTTAAAATGCTGTCTCACATGATCGCTGTAGGCAGCAAGGTGACTCAAAAGCCACATACCAGGAGGGACTTTATTAAGGGAGAGGGAGGCGACTCACATCGGCCCCATCTCTCTATTCATCTAGAACCCTGAAGACTGTGAAGCTAATTGTATTCTTATTGTTCTATTTTATTAAGACAAGAGAAAACAGATCTAAAGGATTTTTTTTTTTTGCAGTTTTTGGCCGGGGCTGGCCTTGGATCTGCCACCCCTTCACACTCTCCAAATGAGTGGTGCTCACTCCAACATAAGAACCAGCTGTCCTGCCACTTCTGGTGGGTCTCAGGCCACCCTGCAATCCCACCCAGATCAGGCCGGGAAGGGGAGCTCAAGGGCTGAGTGACTACATGGGGCCGTGAGGGGTTAAGGGAAAGAGAAGGGAGGGGGGACGTCACAACAGTGTCCCACCCACGCCCTCAGAAACAGCACGACAGCCAGGACGGTGAGAATCTTTATGCACATTATCTCTGTAGCAATACAATTCTTCAGAGCAAGAGAGACAAAAAAGGCTACAGTATTCCAGACAGTTACAGCCTGTAGGTTGACATCATGGACTGGGTTTAGGTCACCGGGAGGCTTTGTAGGAGGACGGAGGTGCAGAGGCGCCTGAGACAGCACCCAGAGGCTACAGCCATACCTAAGATGCGAGAAGCTGCTGCTGGTCAGCACACCTGGTGCCCACGTACAGCGCCTGACACTTGGGGGAGGGCGGGTCTCTATTGGTCTTTGCACATGCCGTGTGTAGAGGCTACTACAGAATTCTTTATTTTCTAAAGTAGGCAAGGCTTGTAAGTTGACCAGTTCACCCTGTAATGACTCAGTACAACGCATGCACACTGGTGGACAGGAGGGCTCTGACCGGGAGCTGTAGGGTTTTTAAAATTCTGACAAGGTCATTTCTACCTCAAAGGACTATCATCCTTTCGGCTGTTCATTCATTCATTCATTCATTCAACAAATACTTATCCCAAACAACATGCCTCTTCATCCATCCCCTTCTCAGAAAGACCAGACTGGGAAATGGGTGAGCAGAGAGAGCTCACGGGACACAGGTGTGCCGTGAACACTCACAGCTGCTACAGGCCGGAGGTGCAACCCCAGGGACTCAGCAGTAAGTGGCTTCCACCCTGCTAGACCTCAGGGACTAGTGAGCTACTTCAAGAAAGGAAAGAACAATTCTCATGTCAAGTCAGACATTGCCGAGGGGGAACGACTCTCTCACTCATTGGGAAGGGGGAAAGGAAAGGAATTTGAGGTGGAGTAATTCTTATCTGTACAGTTCAGCAGAAGGAAGAAGCTCACATCATTCGCTTCACTTTGGAAGATGCAGTGGGCCTCGGGGGTGGTATGTGAAGCACCCCAACTCTCCACCTGCACCCTACCCAAGAAACAGGCTGTGGGTGTGGCTGCTTTTTACGAAGCTGATGCTAACTTTAGATGGCACAGGCTTCAAGCCCAAAGCAGCAATGATGGATTAGTCATATTTTCTATCTTCAGTTCTTTGGGGGTAAAAATACCACAAAAGGCATAAAATAGCTTTTCTCCCTGAATATGTCATTCTCATGTTTTGTTCAAATTAGCCCACATGATCATGTTCTCTATTATAAAAAGTAGGTACCTCTCATAGTGAAGGCCCTTTCTACAAGTATAGCTTTGGATTCAGAATTAGCAACCCAATTAGCTCAATTAATGTTGACTGTATCAACAATATTCCTGTAAGCATCACCAAAAGTCTTCCAGAGATCACAGTAAAAATCTAAGTCTATTCTGCTAATGATGGTGGGGAGAAGGGGCCTGAGGAAGAGCCTTTTGTTCAGCCAGATGGGAGGTGCATGGGGCATTTTTTAAATGGATAACAGAGTCAGAGCTGGTTCTGTAAATGCCATCACAGGGCTCTGTGCCAAAGGTCCTCTGAGTCAGGAGGGAGAGTAGTGAATGGCTTCCCAGTCTCGGTTTTGACACCGATGTAGCCAACACATATGTGTACAAAGAACATCACACCTCCTGCTGCACTGGGGGGACATGGGCTAAGTCACGAGGAACATCAGCAGTACTGACCTTGAGTAGCTGAAGTGCTACTTCACCTCTGCCTGGCTCAGAGTTCCCATCTGCATAGTGAGACGAGGTGCTGTCTCTGACCCACTCAGGCCGAGCAGGAGTGGGTGAGAGAGAGCTACGCCAGAAAGCACTGGGGCCTTCTCCAGAGAAAGGCAGTGTTCAAGTAACAAAGTATTCAGCAAAGGACTCCAATCAGAAAAGCACAAAATTCAAGTAACAGAGTCTCAAGTGCTGTGTTCTGGCTTTTGGGCAGAGGCTTGTGCGTCTGCAGTGGGAGGCTGGTGGGTGCGTGAGCTGTGCGGCATGGCAGAGGAGGCAGGCCGAGTGCCACGGAGAGCCCACTGCTGTCTGTGCCACGGAGGACCAACGTTCTCCTCGAGAGGAGAAAACGAACCTCGGGTGAAGCGTAGCAGCGTGAGCGAGCTGCTCAGAGCTGCTTCTTAAAGCACACTGTGCACGTTCCGGGCATAACGTCTACAAGTTGGTCACTAACCTAAATTTCAACAGATTAGTTTTTTCATTTAGCAGGTAGAAAGTTAAAGAAAGGGTACCTAGAATTTTCCCCTACACTTTAAGAATAAAAACAATTTGGAGACCGGTACTGAGGAAACACACACACACACACACAGTCCCTTCACAGTGGGGAAGATTTCTGCAACATAGAAACTTACTTTCTTTCTGCAGTTTCTGTTCTGTGCCTGCTTCAGTGTTTCTAACACTCAGAACTGGGAGGCGTGGGGGACACTGTCACAGGGGCCCTACAGGCCCTGGGGACAGGATGATGGACATGGCTAACAGTCTGGATCCACAGTCTTTTCTAAATAGCTCACAATGAAAACTTGGGAAAACTTGACACCTTAAAACGATATTTTGCCACAAGAACCCACATCATCCGTTAGCAAGTGGATGTTACCAAGCGAGCGGATGGGGAAATCCCCATTCTGACTCGCATTTTAAACTTCCAGGCTCACTGTGCAGCCACTCTCCTCTGACCTACCAGCCTGTCTCCCTGTGCCAGTAAGAACCTTTCAGAGCTTTCTACCACGAGGAAAGGGGTCTGGAGACAAGTCTGCGGAGACGTCACCGTCACCGTTTCTTGGTGCCCCCGCCGCTCCCGCGGGCCTTGCTGAAGCTGCGGCTCATCTGGGGGAAGCGCATGGTTGGGGTTCGCTCTGTGGGGCCGTACAAGCCCAAGTTCCTGGCGGTGGCCGACTTCCGCAGGGGCTTGACGCTGGGAAAGGGGCTGAAGATAGGGGGTTTCGAGTTGCTGCCTTGGGGAGCTCTGCTGGTGGCCTTATCCTCTCCAGGTGCTTCTGGCAGCTGTGGGAAGGGCTGCTGGTGGGGCGGGTGTGCCCCGGGCTCTGTCTCGGCGGCAGTGTCCCTCTGACTCAGTTCCAAGGCTTCTAACTTCACCTGAACCTCGGACACGTCCACCTCAGCATCTCTGAACACTGGCTCCGGGGACTGTCCCTCGATTGTCCTGGCCGTGCTGCCCTCGGAGCTGCTGTCTTCTCTCTGTACTGTCGCCACACAGCTGGAGGAAAAGGCCTCTGCCGGCCCCGGGATGCTGGTCTTGCAGGCCTCGCTCTGCTCCTCTATCAGCCCTACCGTGTCCCCACAGCCCGGGTGACTCTTGGCCCGTGGCAAGTTCTTTTTGTGGACTCGGATATGAGTTCGCCAAGGAGAGTTGAGCTTTGCCTTCAGATCTTCATAGGGGACAGGAGACATTTTGCCTGTGTGACCAGGGATGTGGATGACAGCATTCTTGGCAGCTCTGTTAGTCATTTTCATCTTCTTTCCTAAGAGAAGGTGGTTTATAACCGGAGAATTGTTTACCTGAGACGGGAGAATGCTGGTCACTGGCCCTTTGTCTGAAAGAAATGTTGAGAGTTCATGTGAAATGCACGGGAGAGAAACACATCCCCCCAGACCAGCAATCACAGGCCAACCCCACTGCACCACCACTGCCAAGAAACACCCCC